CTGCTCCACACCTACTCAAAAGATTAAATGAAAATGAAATTGAAACATGGCAATGAAGCTTCATCTGCTAACCAACCTTTTGAAGAAGCTTTAAATTTGCAGTCCATAATTCCACAAACTATAATTTCTCCAAGCTGTGTTTGTATGTTATCGGTTAATGTCTGAGAATGGGACATAGATTGATGCAAGGAATGAACATACTTTCATGCATTGCTGCAGACTCTACCGACAGTGGTTCCACTTCACTGGACCCTTCCACATTTACGAAAGACTCTATTCGGCTAAATTTGACCTCGCAATTAGAGGTGAGTTTGGGTTTACAGCACACGCTTGTTATGCCAAAAGAAGATGAATAAACGTGGGTTTGTCCAAGGCTGATCCGTTGACTACTTCGCTCCAGTTAAAAAAACGCGCAAATTCGAGTTGCGCGATCAGTTATATAAGTGGAATTACCGAAGGGCTACCCCTTTTGCCCTTTAACACTGCAGGGCCGGATCTTAAGCTTACCGTTTACCATCAAGCACAACTCCATTTCTCCGATCACTTGCTACCACTTAATCTTTGCTGGTCTTTTTCGTTAGTACAATAGAATTTTGTGGAGAATTTCGAACACCTCTACATTGTTGCAAATATTTCATCGAAGCATTACAATGCCAGATAGACAAGCTCTGTAAACCAAGCTGACTGGCAAAAAGTGGCAGATCTAGTAGAAGGTTTTAGTTGTCACTCGCATTGAGTTCTCTGCCTCCGTAATGTGAATTCCTATGGCGTCAGAGTTCTGCCTTACTCTTCATCAAACAAATACAAGCGCAGATCCCCAAAGTCTGTATTCGTATTAGCTCAGAACCAGTCCAAAGTCGGAGTAACATTCAACTTTTTTAGCATTCTGGATATTGTTTCACGGGACAGCGTAATGGATAGATTGTTACACTTTCATGTGCTTCAGTAAGCTTACCTGTTTTGAAATGATGTTTTTGTCAACACTGCAATTGCCATAAGCAATGCGTATTTCAATTTTAGTTGACACGGAGCAAGATCTTCACTCTTAAAAGTATTGCATTCTTCCTCGTGGTGTACTTTTACCGCTAGAACCGAGACCGTAACTAAGTTTCACATTTGACACCCATCGGCGTGGTAATGTGATATTCTTAATAAGATGTTAAGCCGTATATGACTTAAATAAGTGTCCATCCGCAAGTAAGCTTCTGTCTTAGTCGTGGAAATGGATTTAACAACAAGAATGACGTGCACACACAGGAGTACCCACTTACGCTTAAGTTCCGCGGCTTCGCCATGCAGGCTTCAAGCCTACAGGCAGGCCAATCTCAAACATATTTTAGGAGGTATTCGGTTCCTCGGCTTGGACAGTACCGCAGCACAAGTTACTGCTTAGCTTTCCCCATGCTAAACTAAATTTGTTATATATCCTACCTTTGGATCCGCTTTAAAATCGCACAAATAACTCCATTCTGTTCGGAGGATAAAACCAAAATATGCTTTTCACTATTACTTTTTGCTTCACAATCACCATATAGAAATGATCAGAAATTAAACGGACTCAGAGGGGCGTTTTTTGCTAGGTTGAGGTAAGAGCATAGGTTGTTACTTAAGAATTTTACGAAAATCATGCAATTGTCTGCTTTGATCCCTTCTGGACCAAAATATTGGCCGTTCCCCATCTTGAGGATGAGGACTGCCGCTGTGCCAATGTTTGATGCTAAGCGGATGATCACTTTAACGGAAATGTGGCCTATTTTGTATCGCGTTTCCATGAGTAATAAAAAAGTTTCACAATGTATAGATGATGCGACACATTCGCGAAGATTACTTACATTATTTTTAAATTTAGAGGTATTTCACTTTTAATCAGTTCTTAGAGGAAACAAACAATCACAGTAGAAATGACATCTCAGCATTTTGCTAGCAGCAGCTTCATTATTTTACTCAGCAGCGTCTTCGTCTTCATCTAAATCAACCAGAAATTGTTAACCATCAAATTGGCATCTCCCCCAGTCTCAAGCACAAACACCAAACCGTTCTATCATATCCCACCTCCATTGAGTGCAGCCATATCATTAGCACTGAGCTTGGAACTGGAATTAAAGACCACACGGTCGAGGGGTGAAGGTGGTGGTGGTGGAACTGCGAACCAATCGGCAGCATCCCCCAGGAGGCTCGAGGCCAGCAGAAAGCCGTGACTGCGTAAGAAGTCCTCCTCTCCTCCTCTCTCACAATGCTTGCTCACTGCTATAACGGGGCCCACGTTAGGTACTAGAGTTGAACTAACTTCACCCACCCTACCCATTGTGAATACGGTGATTAGGATACACACAGTCTTCGGTTTTAATGGTAGCACCACCTGAGAAGCAGCGGTTTATTTGTTAGGCGAAGAAGTGGGGAGGGCATAAGGCACCCCAGAGTCTAGTAGACGGACTTTTGAGTGCGTCATTACACAAATAGAAGGTGGTGGCAATGCCATTTTCTCGCGAGTCGATTCGTAGAGTCCATGCCTGGCTTCGATCATCTTCTCCGCTCGAGGACGCCGCGCAGCATCTCTAAGACGAGGTCATAGTGATTAACACTTTTTTTAATAAGCGATTACCCAAATTTTCGACAACACCACTTTGGCTGTTTTGGTGTCGCTTCGTTTCTCACCTGCTATTAGACAAGGTCTAATTCATTTTGTAGAAGAGGGGCAGAATGATGGAATGTTGCATGAACAGTTGACCTACACGTCTGGCCCTTGCGAAACGATTATGATGAGTATTGGCTTGCTGAGAAGCACATTCAACCCAGCACCAAGTCGACTTAGCTCCACACTTACCCCCACTTCACGCCCCCTTTGAACTGAACCTCTCCCTAATCAACTTAGCGCATTTAAGGAAGAAGTGAGAAATTTGGTGCTGCATTTAATGTGAAGACGACATTGTCTAATTTCCGTTGTATGAGGTAGCAACAATAACACTGTGAATTGCTACACGATTGGACCAGGAAACAATAGGGTACATGAAGACCATAGCAACGGTGCCACGTACCCTATACATGCAATTGCATGCACTGGTACGATGGAAGCATCAGGAAGAAGGATGAAATCCATCCCGCTTTTGGTCGTAGCTATACTTCACGTTTATCAAGGTAATTCAGCAATTTTCGCGTGAAGTTATAAGCTTTGTGAGCGCATCGATCCTGACCCAGCTCCAGTTGGTGGAACACATTTCATATTTATCCACTGTTTGCATTCACGATTTGGTGATTTAGTGGAGAGGTAGACAGGGCACAGTTAATTTGGTGAAATTGTCTTTGCTGCCGCGGTTTAAGGTTTGAAAGGAAGAAAGTCGAACGCTCAAGTGAAGAGACGGAGAAAACACATCACCGCTGGCGAGTCCTTTTTCACCACACATAATTCCACGCAGCCCACTCCCTTTTAGGAACAAAATAAATGGACCCAAAGAGTGAAGCCAAGTTTTTCAATGGAGCACTTAAGATCCCTTTCGAAAGATGAGTAGGAGAATTATGGACGAAAACTTATAACATTTCCTTTACCTTATCTTTAAAATTTCAGTATTTGCTTTGACTGAGAACTAAATGTTATAGGAATGTTAATGACCTAGTGCAAAGTCATGCAGATGATTTGCGTAATCGATGTCTTTCCTTGAAGGGGTCGAAGCATACGAAATGGACTTCCCTTGTATGGACTCGACGTGGATATACGTGGCGAGGAGTGGAAAGTGCTACACATTGCTCTCCAGCACAATGCGACACACATGGCAGGAAGCAGTTAACACCTGCCGATCTCTTCTTGCCAACTATTCCAATACCAGCGTCACTGTTGCCGAAGTTCGTGACTCCGATGACTTAAAGGCTTTGAAGCATGTGTTGGTGCAGAAATCTTTGAAAGAGAAAGTATGGCTGAACGCTTGGAGAGGAAGTAAGCACATTTCCTTACTGCTTGAGATGGAAATCGGGAAACTTTACTCAGTCAAAATGACAAGTTTTTTCCTATGCCCTTTAACAAGCTATCGAGCAAACTAACTTCCAATGCTCTCTAACGTGCAAGCAACGGCGATGGAGCAAGGGTAGACAGACCTTGCGTAAGTTGTGAATGAGCAAAGAGCACCTCGGGGGCGTTTTTTCACCTTGCTAATTAACGTGTCCTTTTGTGTGCGACCCACGTCAAATAAAGGCTGATTTTAGGGAAAGAGAAGCAGGAAGTGTGTCAATAAAGTTCAAATGAGAAGTCGCCTCCCTGACTTTGCCAATGATGGCTACTTTGATAGCCACTAAGATGAGCTGTAGGCTGATTGGTT